AAAAATGTTTTATAGAACACCATGTGTAAATGTATAAATATACACGAATACATATGCACATGAGTATGTATGTATGTGTAAGTGTGTTACCAGTGTGTGTAACTTTTCGTGCGGCGGAAGGCAGTCGTAAAGCTGAAACGCCTGTTTAAATTCGCAATAAAGAAGGAAACGCGATTTTCCTGCAAATAATTTGCGCAACAACAAAAACAATTACCTTTACACTTACATGCATGTAACCAGAAGTATGTATGTGAGTGCAAATCGACTTGCGTGAGCTGAAAAGCTCGGCAAAAAGTTCGCGAACATTTTCCGCTTTAATTCAGCTGTGCGAATTCCTGGCAATAAAATGCTTTTTTGTTGGCTAAATTTGTTTACATTGTGTATGTTTCGGCCGCATAATACACACACTCACCTTGCACTGCATAAATGCAATAAAAGTGAAATATGTCTGCACTCACATACACATAGAAATCTCGCATTACGCGCGGAATTAAATTGTAAAGTATGCAACACAAACTTTTTTGGAGAGTCATAAGAACAATTTGGGGCTGTGAGTTTATTTTACAACCAGATCGTATACATACACACTTACAAATGCACTTATGCACATATATGTGCATATGTATGAGTGTATGTCGATAATTACTACTCATATCTAACACTTAATGCTGAAGCATGTTACATATCACGCTTAATGAGCTCTTAAGCAAATATACATAAGTGGCATCTCGGTCACAGTTGGCGTGGTGCGGCAGCACTTTAGTTTGCGTGTGTGTGTTAGAACAAAAACTGCTATATAAATGTGGTATTTTTCTACGAAAATATTGTTGCAGCTTATGCACACATACATAATCTTGTAAAACACCCAGAGGTGATCTACTGACTGATGCCCGGACTACATATACAGAAATTATGTAGGGAGTACTTCTCCAGCATGCTGAATGGCAGTGAAAGAATAACACCAGGAGTTGGTAAATCCAACTACCCAATCGATGACGATGAAGTAACGTTCCATTGATCGACCAAGAAAAAGTTCGTTCCCGTCTGTAGAATAACAAAGCGGTGAAGGCTGACGGATTGCCATCCGAGGTATTCAAATTCGGCGGCGAAGAACTAATAGGAGCAAACATCAGATTCTTAGTAAAATACGGTTGAACGAAAGCATGACCGACCATTGGAACCTAAGCGGACTCTGCCCAATGTACAGAAGGAGCGACCCCACAATCTACACCAATTACCGTGGGATACTGAGTGAAAGCCTAAAGCCCACCGTGAATAAACTGATGAAGGTCAAATCAATGGTTTCAGTCCTGAAAAATTTACTATCAAGCATTTTTACTATGGGGCAAAAGATCAGTAAAAGGAAGATCGACACCCACCTCCTCTTCGTTGGTTTTAAAGCCGCTTTTGATACCACGAAGAGGAGCTGCCTTTATGCCGCTATGTGTGAATTTGGAATCCTCGCAAAACTTATAGGCTTTGTAAACCGACTTTGGCCAATATCAAAAGCTCCGTCAGGATCGGGAAAGACCTCTCCGAGCCGTTTGATACCAAACGCGGTTTCAAACAAGAAATTTCCTTATCGTGTGACTTCTTCAGTCTATTTCTGGAGAAAATAATTCGAGAAGCAGAGCTAAATAGAGAAGATACAATCTTCTTTGCGCATTGACAACGGCGAATACCACAATCTACGGAACGGTAACCTGTGCAAGGTATACGACGACTTTGACATATGTAGTTCATCAAATTAAAAGACAGCTCGCAGCACTCTTGCCAGTCTGATTGATTTATCTCCAAATCATGCATATTTAACGCATCAGTCGCTGAAGTATGTTTATCTTATACGTACGGAAATAAAAAGAAGTCATTAGGCCTCTCATCAGGACTTTACGGTAAAAGACTTCTCAGATTGAAGGTTTAAGTGCTCAAAAATGCAATTGATTCAGTCGAGTGGAGATTCATCGATAAAAAAATTAAATTCTTCGATGCACTGTTGCTGAGTTAATCCATTTATTTCCAACTTGTAGTAAATAATTACGCGAAAAGTTTGGCGATTAAATTAAATTGTTTGACCGAGATGAACATCTTAAGTAGTTGTAAACAACACAAAAAACGATTTGATTATAAGTATATAACATCAAAAATGTTAAACTTTACGTTCAAGTGGACAGTTGCCAGATTGCAACGCTAAATCTCGAAATATCAAAGGCAACCTACGTATATGAAGAAATTACGATAACTGCAAGATCACGATACGATTTACGATATTAAGCAGTCTGTTATTCACATTGTCAACAACAAATGCTAACCACTGGCATTCTGCTAACACAAGCGTTCTCTCTTTAACAGCATCTGCTCTCACTGCATTTATTTATGCATCTTAATCACAGAGTTCTCATTTTAACATTCGCTGTTAACACCCCCAACAAAGCTAACACATGCTTAACAGCGCTACCTAAGCCACACGGTAGACAATCAGATCGGCAATAAGTGAGAGCAAATAAACGCTCATCGACTGTAATATATTAATGTACAAACATACACACATATGTGGACACAATGTAAACAACTTTATGGTTTTGGCTTAGTTTTGTGATATTGGGAGATGGCTGTGCGCATGTGTGTCAGATTGTTTATGGTTGGGAAACGACTTTCATTGCAGAAAGTACTCGGCATATACACACACATACATACATGTATTGGTGTGTAGGTGCGTGCACGTTAGCCGGATTGTTAAATCGATCGTTGATTTTTCTTATGGCAATGTGTTTGATGGCTAGTGCTTCGGGAGAAATCAATCTAGCAAGAGTTGAGAGAGTCAGCGACGCATAAACAGCTGTGACAATTTACTTATGGGGTAAATGCATGCCTTCTAAAAAAATGGGCAGGCAAGGAGTTGGTGATTTATTTATTGGAAATATCATGAAAGGTATTAATAAATGCAATAAACAATATGACTTTGGTGTGAGTGAGAGTGTATGTGAGCCAGCTAAAGTTCACGAAAGTTGTTTGAAAAATATTGAATTTTTCAGAAATAAAATTTTAAACTATTGAAACTTTTTTCTAAAAAATATGTAAATACTTTTCAAAAACAATTTAAATTTTTTTATGATATTGAATATTTGAAAAACAAATTTGTTTCAAAGAAACCTTTGAATTTTTTATTAAACAGATATTGAAAATTTCATTAAAAAAAATATAGAAATTACAAAAAAATATATG